CACACCACCCTGCAATTTGCTGCAGAGGTAGTAAGTCCAGATCGAACCTCCTGCAAAAGGGAGAAGTTCGAACGAGCCCTCCGGTGGCCATTTTAACTCGCAGCGTTACTCATACTCATAGAACCTCAAATCCCTTGCCTCAGTTACACAACTTTTTTTTTAAGACACCAAGATTTCTTTTGAGAGTTTTCTATATACTCAAAGACTTTCTTTTGAGAACTAGTGCAAGCCCACCTCCAAACTGTGGCTGGAAGCAGAGCCACTTCCCAAAGTACTTTGACCTCTGCACATGCTCAGAGGCTTTGTATGTGCTGCTTCTGCAGTACTCACTGAACTGGGCTAGCTAGCAGCACAGAATACCCGCTTATCGCTTATTGAACCTAGCCCACCCTTGCGCACACACCTACTTGCTAACTACTTTATCTGAAAGGTACAGGGTATACCCCTACCCTCTCAGAGTCACGTAAGCATGACCATGCGAAACCAAAAACAGGAACAAGGTGGTGAAGCACAAGAAGCACGAGTGCAAGGTCAGGCAGGGAAGATAACATGACTAAGAGGCCTGCAAGACCCGGATACCAGCGACGATTAGGAGTGGTCAGCAGAAACTGTGGCAAGAGACGTTAGTACTTTTCCAGAGATAAAGAAATGCTAGAAAAGGCTTGTAATACCGTACATAGGCACCGCACTTTACTAAAGTGTTGGTCCCTGCGCAGGTACAATAAAGGAGCTTCTCCTTCTCTCCACTCTGGTCTTGTGGTCTGTTTGCCAAGGACTGACAAGGCATCCGTTGGGATATAACATTTGGAGGCCCCAGCGAGATGCGAGACCAGCGGTCTGGCCTCCTCCGACTCCGGGGACAGGCCCTATAGGCGTTTTTTTAGCCTCTGCCCCGGCTCGGTGGGATGTCTGACTAGCCGAGAGAGGAGTAATTGGTAAGTGCGCACGGCGGTTACCCGCCATCTGTTCTGTTCTGAATATCTGCAGATCTGGTATTGGAAAGAAAGGCCTGCTGGACGCAGCGTACGGGCCACTTTCCGGTCTGGGGGCAAGACATCGTTCCCCAGCCTCAGGTCCTGTTTAGGTTGTGTGTTTGTTTAGATTGTCTGTTTTGTCATCTATCTTGTTGGACTGACACTTGGAATGCTCAGTATGGTTTATGTTCCATTCTATTGTTGCTGTCTATGTTTTCTGTCTTGTCTGTTTGTATTGTAAAGTGTTCCCCTTTCTGGGAGATAAGCATAGCCCAGAGTGGGTTTTGGGGGTTCCTCAGGAAATAGAAACTCCCCACGCAGCCGCACCAATCTGTCCTCTTCAGAACAGGGTTGAAAGCAAGGGTGTGGATGGGTGTTCTTGCCCCTGAGATGAGAATGGGTGAACCTGGCTTTGTTTGAGATACAGATTCATGAGGTCATTGGCCTGAGCCCAAGCATGGCTGAGTCCGGCTGGGAAAAAGGTGATGATCAGGGAAATGTGTGCAGATTCATGAGGTCATTGGCCTGAGCCCAAGCATGGCTGAGTCCAGCTGGGAAAAAGGTGATGATCAGGGAAATGTGTGTGTGAGATTTTTTCCTTCCCCCATTCCTTCTATATGAGCCAGAACTGGGAAGTAAGGGAATATGTGGCCCTTGAATTGGGCTAACACAGGTCCTACCCAGTTTTCTGGACATCCTCAATAAGCTTATCCTGTGTGAAAGCCCTGTATGAAAGAGGGGTTATATAGAAACATTTTTATACAGGTCCTATCCTTTCTCGTCCTTTGGGTGGCTGAATCCCAGGGGGCGTTTTGGGACCTTCAGTCCCCAGCCGCTCCTGGGATTCCTTTGGAGGGTTGAAGACAATCCACCACTCGGTAAGTTCTGGTCTGTCCCATTTGCTCTGTTTCTGGATCCTTGCAAGGTTTAGGAGGGACCTAGACTCGCCGGTTGCGGCAGATGAGTCAGTCCCTAGAGTGACCTCTGAGACGTCAGACACACTCCGGTATTGGTTCCCCGAAATTTGTTACAATCATCTGCTGAAGTTTGATTCCGACAATATCGGCCAGGGACGGTCTAAGGTTTCTGATACTCCTCTCCAGTGTGTGTTGACTAACTTTTCTGATTTTTCCAAACGTGCAGCAGGCTTCGGTGTACGAGTATGACCAGGTGTCCTCAGGACTCTATGTGAATTGGAATGGACCACCTTTGATGTGGGTTGGCCGTCAGAGGGTTCATTTGACCTGGGAACCATGAAGGCGGTCCAGTCGGTGGTTTTGGGAAATACCGGGCCGGATCATCCTGACCAAATTCCCTACATACTCACTTGGTTGGATATCGCCACTACCCATCCCCCTTATGTCAGGGCCTATGGTCCCCCCGAAAGTCGGGACACGCGCTTGCCGTCCCGGCAGAAGCGCCCCTCCTGCTGTCTGGGCAAGGCTAGTGTTATTCTGCCAGCAGTCCCGTCAGGCCGTCCTGCCCCGGAGTCCAAAAAAACCCAGACCGTTTTACCAGATGAGACCGATCCTCTGGATTTTCCACCCCTGCCCTATCCCGCTCCTAGCCCCAGGCCGCCTACTGCGCCACCGGCTCCTCAGGGGTCTGTGGCCGGGGACAGGGAGCGTGGCTGTGACCGCCACCCCGAGGGATCGGGTTCGCGTTCTCCCTCTTGCTCTGCCTCGCCTCCTGACTCCCCACCACGGCGCATTTGCCGCCCACGACGGGCCTGCCACTCCTGCGACCCTTCCCCGGAGCGTCCCAAAGGGGTCAAGCCCTCAGCTCCTCCGGCTCTTCTGCCACTCCAGGAAGTGGCTCCTGCCCCGGGGGCGCAGGACGGGGCAAGACCCTTCCTGGTCTATGTGCCCTTTTCTACCAGTGATCTGTATAACTGGAAGCAACAGAATCCCTCTTTTTCGGAAAAACCCCATGGGTTAATTTCCCTCCTGGAAACAGTCTTTCACACCCATCGCCCTACCTGGGACGACTGTCAACAATTGTTGCAGGTGCTCTTTACGTCGGAGGAACGGGACTGCATTCAAATGGAGGCTCAAAAGCAGGTCTTGAGGGCGGATGGCCGACCAACAACCGACCCGGCTACACTTGAGGCAACCCTCCCCACCCAGAGACCAGATTGGGACCCAAACACGGATGCAGGTGAAGGGGCTCTGACCAGGTACCGCCAACTTCTACTCCAGGGCCTTAGGGGAGCGGCCCGTAAGCCTACCAATCTGTCTAAGGTCAGTGAGGTAGTTCAGGGCCCCCGGGAGTCCCCTGCTGCTTACTTAGAAAGGCTTCTGGAGGCATATAGGCAATATACCCCCATAGACCCCTGAGCCCCCGAGAATGCAAGAGCAGTTAACATCACTTTCGTAGCCCAGGCAGCCCTGGACATACGGAAAAAGATTCAGAAACTCGATGGGTTCGAGGGAAAGAATCTGTCTGAGTTAACTGAGGTTGCCCAAAAGGTCTTCAATAATAGGGAAGACCCCGAGGTGACGGAAACAAAAAAATTGACCAAGGTGGTCTTGGCCACCCTGGGTGGTTCAGCCCCGGCACGACGGGGCCGAGGCCCATTGGCCAGGGACCAATGTGCGTATTGCAAGGAGCGAGGACACTGGAAGAATGAGTGCCCTCTTCGGCAAGGGCCCCTCCGCGGGCAGGTGTTCCCGGCACAAACCATCTTCCCAAAAGGAATATGGACGGGCATTGTGTTGGGGGAAGGGCTCTCCCAGTGGGAAGACAAGAAGGGGGTGGTGCTGGTGCCTTTCCCCCACCCCCTCGGGGAAGTGGGGATAACCCTTCGGGAAACCTGGATTTCTTGCTGCCACTGGGGGACTAGGGAGGCCAGGGCTCCATGAATCTAGGCCCCCGGGAGCCACTGGTCACGTTAACCGTGGGGGGGGGGCAACCGACTACGTTTCTGGTTGATACAGGGGCAGCTCATTCGGTTCTCAAGCGGCCCGTAGGCCCCCTGTCAGGAAAAACTACCCAGATTGTGGGGGCCACAGGACAGCCCAAATCACACCCCTGGACGTCCGCCTGGGTCACGGACCTGGGCAAAGGGACAGTGACTCATTCCTTCATGGTCATTCCTGAGTGCCCCTATCCGCTGTTAGGCCGAGACTTGCTATGCAGATTAAGGGCACAGGTCTCGTTCCGGGACGATGGCACCTATTTGACAATCGGTCAACCTTCTGAACCACTTCCTCTATTGGCCCTAATGGTGCCTCTGCAGGAGGAGTACCTCTTCTTCCAGGCAGAGGTCGAGGCCACGGGAGGGTCGAGGGCGCTTTCCCAGATGCAGCAAGAGATTCCGGGTGTCTGGGCAGAGACCAATCCTCCGGGTCTGGCCGCTCACCAGCCTCCTGTGGTAGTACAGGTCCTGAGGTCAGCCACCCCTTTCCGTAAGCCACAATACCCCATTTCCACTCAAGCAAAATTAGGTATTAGAAAACATATCCTGAGACTCTTGGGGGCTGGTATCCTCGTCCCATGCAGGTCTCTCTGGAATACCCCTCTCTTGCCGGTTAAAAAACTGGGAACAGAGGACTATAGGCCTGTGCAGGATCTAAGAGAGGTAAATGCTAGGGTGGAGACGGTCCATCCCACTGTTCCGAACCCCTATACCCTGCTCAGTCGGCTGCCCCCTGACCATGAATGGTATTCTGTCCTTGATTTGAAAGACGCCTTTTTCTGCATACCCCTCGCACCCGTAAGCCAGCCTCTTTTTGCATTTGAATGGACTGACCCTGAACAGGGGATCTCTGGTCAACTCACCTGGACTCGATTGCCACAAGGTTTCAAAAACTCCCCAACCCTCTTTGATGAAGCCTTAAGTAGGGACTTGTTCCCCTTTCAGGAGTCCCACCCTGAAGTGACGCTACTCCAGTACGTGGATGACCTGCTCCTGGCGGGGTGCTCCGAACAAGTCTGCTGGGCCGCAACGCGGGATCTTCTCCAGACTCTTTGTACCCTCGGCTATTGGGTGTCCGCTAAGAAGGCTCAAATTTGTCTCCAGCAAGTCTCTTACCTGGGCTACACTCTCTCTAAGGGGACGAGGAACCTTTCAGCGAGTCGGATGCAGGCTATTATGGCCATTCCGACTCCCACCACCAAACGGCAGGTACGTGAGTTCCTAGGGGCAGTGGGTTACTGCCGATTATGGATCCTAGGGTTCGCTGAAATTGCGAAACCCCTGTACTCCAGCACGGGGGGAAAGGGAGACTCCCTCACCTGGACCGAGACTGAACAACTGGCATTTTAGGCTCTCAAGAGGGCTGTTACTTCCGCGCCTGCTCTGGCCTTGCCGGACCTCCAGAAACCCTTCCAGCTGTTTGTTGCCGAAGTCCGAGGGACGGCCAAGGGGGTCCTAACTCAAACCGTTGGACCTTGGAAGAGGCCAGTGGCGTATTTGTCCAAGCGGCTGGACCCTGTGGCCGCAGGCTGGCCCACATGCATGTGGGCCATAGCCGCCATGGCAGTGTTGGTTAAAGAAGCAAAGAAGCTGACCCTGGGCCAGGACTTGCAGGTGATCGGAGCCCATACAGTAGAAACCCTTCTCAGAAGCCCCCCAGACCGCTGGATTTCCAACACCCACGTCACCCAGTATCAGGTGCTTCTGCTTGATCTGCCCCGGGTCACCTTCTTAAAAACTGCCATTCTGAACCCTGCAACGCTCTTGCCGGACGATGACCCCAAGGAACCCATACACGACTGCTCGGAAGTCCTGGATACTCTCGCTGGCATGCGACCAGATCTGACGGATGTACCTTGGCAGCCGCCGGCCGAAATCCTCTTCACGGACGGGAGCAGTTTCGTCAAAGATGGAGTCCGCTATGCGGGAGCCGCAGTGGTAACCGCCTCGGAGGTAAAGTGGGCGCAGTCTTTGGGCCACGGGACATCCGCTCAGCGAGCTGAATTGATAGGCCTGATCCAAGCATTGCGCTGGGGAAAGGGCAAGACTGTAAATATTTACACCGACAGCCGGTATGCTTTCGCCACAGCCCACGTACATGGCGCGCTCTATCAAGAAAGGGGACTCCTGACTTCAGGAGGAAAGGACATAAAGAATAAAGAGGAAATTTTGGCGCTCCTGGACGCCCTAGGGTTGCCGGCATGGGTGGTGATCATCCACTGTGCTGCGCATCAGCGAAATGCCTCGCCAATCGCCCAAGGGAATGATTTTGCTGATCGAACAGCCCGGGAGGTGGCCCTACAGCCAGTACGGCCCTTCGAACTCCTTCCAATACAGCTCCGCACCCCCACATCCTACCAGACCACCCGACTTATTCCCAGCCGGAGAGAGACCTGGCCACCAGTCTCGGCTGCATGCGCACACCAGGGGGCTGGCTTTGCCACCCGGATGGACGCGTGTTCTTACCACAGGCACTGGGACGCGAACTGGTTAGCCAAATTCACCAGGCCACACACTTGGGCTCGACCCGCCTGTGTCAACTTGTGCGCTCCTGGTTCTACCTCCCTGGACTGTCCACTATAGCGGCATCAATATCTTCCAGGTGCCCTTCATGTGCACAAGTCAATATCGCACACTCAAGGGGGTGCCCGGGCGAGCGATACAGGGGCTCTCAGCCAGGGGAACACTGGGAGGTGGACTTTACAGAAGTCAAGCCAGGAAAAGGGTGCTTCCAATTCCTTCTCGTCTGGGTGGATACCTTTTCGGGTTGGGTGGAGTCTTTCCCCACCAAAGGGGAAACCGCGGTCATAGTGGCCTGGACACTCCTACACCACATCATCCCCAGGTTCGGGTTGCCCCTTGCCCTAGGTTCTGATAATGGCCCTGCTTTCATTGCTCAGGTGTCCCAGGCTTTGGCAAAATCCCTCGGGATATCATGGACACTGCACTGTGTGTACAGACCCCAGAGCTCAGGCCAAGTAGAACACATGAACCGAACCTTGAAAGAAACACTGACCAAGTATACCCTGGAAGTTGGCGGTAGCTGGGTAGATCTCCTCCCGTTTGCTCTTTTGCGGACGAGGTGTTCACCATACCGGGCTGTGTTTACACCCTTTGAAATTGTGTTTGGGCACCCTCCGTCGCTGCTCCCTCATCTTCGAGCAGAGGAGAGGGCGGGGTCAGTTAACCACACGCTCCTTGAGTCCCTGCAGGCACTGGATAAAGTTCGTCGGGACATTCGAAGGGTCGTCAGGCCGAGTCCGCCGCCCCCACCAGGCACCACAACACCCTCACCACCAGTAGAGCCGGGGGAATGGATCTGGGTTAAGAACTTCCATCCTGTCACCCTAGGACCTCGTTGGTTGGGACCGTTCCAGGTGATCCTATCCACTCCCACGGCTGTTCGAATTGCTGAAAAGCCCTTCTGGATTCACCTCCCCCACGTTAAACGAGCATCTCCACCAGAGCGGCAACCGGGTGAGCGATGGGCAATACAGCGAACCGACGATCCGCTCCGTCTCAGGTTTCAGCGATTGCCTTCATCCTCTTCCTGACCTTTCCGTTCCTGACCTTCCCGTTCGGACCGCCCATGCACACCCCGCCGTACCAGCCACTTACAGTCCAGTGGACTCTTCGGGTTGACCTCTCCGCCTTCGGGTTATCGACCGCGTCAGCTCCCCCCGTAGCTACGGTCTGGACGCACTCTCACAACCCTTACCCGGTTTTCTGCGTGGACTTATGCCAATTGTTTCCCCTTAATTTTAACACGCAGCCACCCAACACGGCAAAAGGGGGGAGGGTCGGGGTGGCTTCATATGGATGTGGCGTGCAGCGAGTGGAAGAGGATATGAGTAGTGAAGGTTATTATGGATGCCCCAGTAATGCGGCTCCGGATTGTGGAGACGCCTATTTCTACTGTGCACAGTGGGGTTGTGGGACTTTCTCAACCTGGTTAGAGGGACAAGATAAAGATAAGTGGCTCAGAGTAAAAAGGGAGAGGAGAAATGTGACTAGGAAGCTAGGGCATAACAACCCCCTTAGCCTTACCATCCTCCGGCCAAGGGAAGACTCCTGGGCAAAAGGAAAAACTTGGGACCTGAGATTGCATGTCTCCGGTCCCAACCCCAGGGTATTATTTACCATTCAAAAGCGGGTCCAGCAGAAACCGTGGGGCCCAATTGGGCTGGGGAGGCAGCCACCTCCCCCACTGCCAGTGCCCAAGGTCACCCTGAAGGTCAAACCCCTACCTCAAATTATGACTTCAGGCCCACCAGGGCTGACTCCAAAACCCTTCGATGAAGCCCTGCAGGACGCTGCACCGCCTGTCCCGGCCTTTGTACCCCCTGCCCCTAGACCCTTATCCTTAGTTTCAGCAGTTTTTCCCGTATTAAACAACACAAGTCCTAACATTACCGAATCTTGCTGGCTTTGCCTTAGCCCCCAACCCCCTTTCTATACTGGGGTCGGGATTAATGCATTGCTTTCCGACCTGCAGAACATCTCCCTCTCCGGTGACTTCTCGAACCTCTGCCCCTGGGGCTCCCACTCTGCCCTCACTTTGGAAGAATTCACCGGTCAAGGGCATGCTTTACGGGATCCAACGGTCCCACTCTGGACCCCCGATGCCTATCCTTAACTCATATCCCAGACTCAGGCGAAACATACCTCCTCAAGGCCCCAAATGGCACTCTGTTCGCTTGTCAGGCGGGTCTTACCCCTTGTATTTCTTCTTCGTCCCTGCAACAACCTCCCGGATCTGAACCAACCCCGACCCCTCTGGCTGACCTTTGCATCCTCACTTTGGTCCTGCCTAAGGTCTCCATCCTCACCGGGGAACATACACCCCTGCCCTCCCAGGCAGGCCGCGTTCGTCGCGCCCCCCCCCCCCCGGCCTCGCTAGTTATAGGACTAGGCATCGCTGGCTCTGTGGCCATTGGTACCAGAGCTTTTATCAAGAGCCATCTTGATATTCAGCTTCTGTCCGAAGAGATAGATAAGGACCTGCAGGAGCCACATGACTCTATCAGGTTCCTAGAGCAATCCCTTGACTCCCTAGCAGAAGTTGCCTTACAGAACCGGCGAGGCTTGGATTTGCTCTTCCTCAAATAAGGAGGCTTGTGTGCTGCCCTAGATGAACAATGTTGCTTTTATGTTAACCACACAGGGGTCATGCGAAATAGCCTGGACGTGGTTCGGTCCCGGTTGGAGGAGCGTGATAAGCATCGCCAGGCATCCTCCAACTGGTATCAACGCTTGTTCAATTGGTCACCATGGCTCACCAGTCTGCTTTTGTCCTTGGCCGGGCCCCTGCTGGGCCTGCTATTCTGCTTGGTGTTCGGCCCGGTACTCGTTCGCTGGCTGACTTGCACGATTCAGGAAAGAGTTAACGCGGCCAAAATCTTGGCTCTGACCATCTCGGCCCATACTGGCTATTCCCGACTTCCAACTTCTGACCCCAGTCCCTGAAATCAAGGGTTTGATTTTCCGTTCAGAATAGGAGGCAATGAACTGGGCTAGCTAGCAGCACAGAATACCCGCTTATCGCTTATTGAACCTAGCCCACCCTTGCGCACGGCACACCTACTTGCTAACTACTTTATCTGAAAGGTACAGGGTATACCCCTACCCTCTCAGAGTCACGTAAGCATGACCATGCGAAACCAAAAACAGGAACAAGGTGGTGATAGCTATGCCCAAGAAGCACGAGCGCAAGGTCAGGCAGGGAAGATAACATGACTAAGAGGCCTGCAAGACCTGGATACCAGCGACGATTAGGAGTGGTCAGCAGAAACTGCGGCAAGAGACGTGCCGAAGACATACGTTAGTACTTTTCCAGAGATAAAGAAATGCTAGAAAAGGCTTGTAATACCGTACATAGGCACCGCACTTTACTAAAGTGTTGGTCCCTGCGCAGGTACAATAAAGGAGCTTCTCCTTCTCTCCACTCTGGTCTTGTGGTCTGTTTGCCAAGGACTGACAAGGCGTCCGTTGGAATATAACACTCACAAAGTGGTGGTACCTTCCTGCCAGAGCATCCCCCCCTTTTCTTGGCTCTGTGGAATAGCCAAGCCCACAGAGTCAAGAAATCCAAATTTTCCAGCACAAATTCCCCTGAATTCAGTTGACCAGACCAAACCCAGAGAAGAAGCTGCAGTTACTGTCTCTTTAAATAATGGGAGTGCTCTTAGCAAGGTAGACCATTCCTCTCTTTTTTATTTGTTTTTCTTGTCTTTACTCCAAAAGTTACACACTTGTCCCATTTTTTTTCCAGTAGAAAAAGTACCAAATTACCATTTACCAAAAACTC